ACTTTTAGAAGAGTTTTTGTGATAACCAAGTTTTTCACCATTTTTGCATTGATACATAATAACTGTTGGTTATAAAACTTTTCATCAAAAAATGTTGGAAACATTTTCTGTACAAACCAAAGGAATCTTGTGATAAGAAGGAGTCTTGTGATAAAAAGGACTTGTGTAATTTACGTAGGATGGATTAACATTAAGAAGTGAACTCTAAGGTTTGAAAAAAAAAAAATGACATGTAATCATAAATGGATGCTTGATGCTGTGATTCCCACTTGACATGATAGGCCAGGAACTTGGGAGCGGAGATTAATATTGTCAGCATCATATACCTCAGTGATTGTAGGTGGCTGTGTAGTCACGCTTACCCACACCAACATTTGTGTATAAATTAAGGATTTTTTTTTTAACAGTGTTAAAAAAGAAGGTTAGAACACTGCAGAAGTGGATGTGAACATTTCCGACCTATTCGTCCTGGATTAATTACGTCCGATTAGTATTGTTCACAGAGGGTTTGTTCTGTTGTGTGACAAATGTAGAACTGTCAGAGGAAAGGGACAAGGAATAGACAGTACTACTGGATAAAACAAGCCACAACTTCATGATTGTTTTTATAGTCTAAATGAAAAGTTGTTTTTACTGGTCAGTAACATAAGAGTAACAAGTATTGTGAAAAGCAGTTAATCAACATGGCCGATGTAAGTCAAGGAAGGTCCTGGTATCAAAACTATGCTCAGCAGCTTAGGTTTCACAGGAGGCCAAGTGACTTTACCTATGTTAACAATGCAGGTAATGATGTACAAAAACTGGTAATCTTGTAACCATGTGTACACAGCTTATTTGTTGTACCTTATACAATCTGGTAATCTTGTAACCATGTGTACACAGCTCATTTGTTGTACCTTATACAATCAAGGCAAATTATTAACTTTATAAACACAGGTTACCATGTAGCTTATAAACACAGGTAATCATTTACCTTATAAACATTGGTAATCATTTACCTTATAAACATGGGTAATCATTTACCTTATAAACATGGGTAATCATTTACCTTATAAACATGGGAAATCATGTACATTATACCTTATAAATACAGGTAATCATGTACATTGTACCTTATAAATACAGGTAATCATGTACAATGTACCTTATAAACAGATAATTGTTTAACCTTGGTATAAACACAGGTATAAACATCATGTACCTTATAAATACAGGTAATCATGTACATTGTACCTTATAAATACAGGTAATCATGACCCCAATAAAAATGTGTGTACCAGGTTTGGGTAAGAAGTTAGATCAATCTCCAGAACCTTTGATTTCACGTCAAATAGGTCAGATAAACGTGATATTACATTAGGTCAGATAAACGTAATATTACATTAGGTCAGATAAACGTAATATTACATTAGGTCAGATAAACATAATATTACATTAGGTCAGATAAATGTAATATTACATTAGGTCAGATAAACGTAATATTACATAAGGTCAAATAGACGTAATATTACATTAGGTCAAATAAACGTAATATGACATTAGGTCAAATAAACGTAATATGACATTAGGTCAAATAAACGTAATATTACATAAGGTCAGATAAACGTAATATTGCATTAGGTCAGATAAACATAATATGACATTAGGTCGGATAAACATAATATGACATTAGGTCAGATAAATTTAATATTACATTAGGTCATATAAACGTGATATTACATTAGGTCAGATAAACGTAATATTACATTTGGTCAGATAAACGTAATATTACATTAGGTCAAATAAACGTAATATTACATTTGGTCAGATAAACGTGATATTACATTAGGTCAGATAAACGTAATATTACATTAGGTCAGATAAACGTAATATTACATTAGGTCAGATAAACATAATATTACATTAGGTCAGATAAATGTAATATTACATTAGGTCGGATAAACATAATATTACATTAGGTCAGATAAACGTAATATCACATGGCCATTACCATATTTAACTTCACAGGTTCCTACCCTCCAAATGGTTTCTAGACCTCTTTGTCCAGGTTGAAGTTTTTTACAGGTTTTTTTTATCTTATAGAATATACAGACACTCTGTTGAACGTTGTTTTAGATAATGTTTTGAACCTTTCTTAAAGTTTGTCTTGCTCTCAAAAGTCAACAGATGAGCTGTGTTTGAAATATGAATGTTTCAAAATTATGATAGAACAGGAAGTGTTAGGGAATACCAAGTGTATGAGGATCACAGTTACAGTATGAAGAGGTGCCACGGGGTACAGCAGAGGGTGCTTTTATCAACATTGTTAGATGTCCAACTCCAAAGTTTGGTTAAGTGTTGTTTCATCCTCTACATAAACAAGGGCCGTTATCTCAGTATTGTTTCAATCTCCACATAAACAAGGGCCGTTATCTCAGTATTGTTTCTACCTGGGATATTACAAAGGATGTCACAGTTGGTGTGAACTCATTCACCCCTGAAATTTTGCAATGAACTATCCCAACCTTTAAATTGGAAGAGTTCAAATGTGTCTTCAGGGGTGAACGAGTAAAACAATATGGTGTTGTAGGTATTACCACTTGTTACAACTATTGTGATGCTTCAAAAAGAATAACAATATACCATGATACATTGCGAAAATGTTAAAAGTAACGCTCGACACAATGTGAAAAATAACGCTCGCACCTGTGTATTGATGTACTGCAAAAGTCTAAATGTTAGCATTTTGCTTGCATTTTGAGCCTTGAGTAAAGTGTGAAAATATCCATGCAGGAATATTTATTTAGGCATGGAATAAAAATATTTAAGAACTATTGCCATTACAACATTTTCCAAACCTTGATCATTTTAAAAAGTCACAAAGCAATCGTTTCCACCCACCAGAATTTCTACTTTTACGGTATATCTCTACTGATAATGAGTAATATGTTATCCTTGTATGGGTGTTGTTCTTGTTAGATCTTGCTGATTGAATATAAAGAAATGAAGATGTAAAAAAAGGAACTAACATTCAAACGAATCTATTAACATTCAACAAATTAGTCCAGATTTTATGATGATTTTAAGATATTGATAATTCCAGTTTAGCATCACTGTATTACAGCACAGTCTAACAATGCATTGATATTTTCAATATGTCATTACAGCTGGCAAGTCTTGTAAACATTTCTTGTTCCATATGGCGATTGTTAGTGATATTGGTCATTGGTAAAATACTGATCTACTTATCAGTGAATCAAAGGCTGTGCACAAGTTTTAAATATTTAAAGGATGTGCACTGTGCATAGAGTCAAAGTCATCTTACCAGCTTCAGCTAGACAGACTTTCCCTTTAGCCCATTGATAGAGCATTTAACTAGAAACTGGGCTGTCTGGAGTCAGAAACTGGGCTGTCTGGAGTCAAAGTCATCTTACCAGCTCCAGCCAGACAGACTTTCCCTTTAGCTCATTGATAGAGCATTTAACTAGAAACTGGGCTGTCTGGAGTCAAAGTCATCTTACCAGCTTCAGCCAGACAGACTTTCCCTTTAGCCCATTGATAGAGCATTTAACTAGAAACTGGGCTGTCTGGAGTCA